AAAAGATATTATTTGTAAAGATATATATATATATATATATATATATATATATATATAGCAAGTTAGATTGATTTTTTTAGTATTTATTGTTTAATATTAAATTGATAAGAAATTAAGTTTTTTAATTTAATTTGGTTCTAGGATTTTATAAATTAAGGATTTGAATCAAATCAAGATTAAGAAATTTATCTAGGTTAGCTTAGTTTTTTCCTTTTCTTTATTCTTTATGTTCATTTTTTTTTAATATGTTTTATTTCTTAAATTTTATCTTTAATTATTTATAACTCTTTAATTTAGTTTCAAATTTAATTCAACTTAAGATCAATTAAGACCCAAACAAGGCCAAACCAGGAAGGGAACAAGAATTAAAGGAGAAAAAAAAGACATAAATTGTTAAAGTAAGTTAATTTGTAAACATATCTAATACTCAGATGATAAATTTCACATACTAACTTAGGTGAATATACTTTTTGCCATCTTTTCATTCATTTTCTAATTATTATTTTTACAATTTAATCATTTAAGCTAGATCTTGGTAAAGGTTAAAGTGAAGGCAGCATGATATTGTTTTTCTAACCAGACAGTGATTTGAGTGGGGACGACTAGCGAGGTTAAACAAGCCACACCGACCTTTTTATGCTCAATGATTTGACCAATACATCCATCTCCTTGTAATACTCACACTGTTTAGGTAAAAATCCTGATAACGGCTCACTAATACATTTGCTTAAACGAAAGCCCTCCCCCACTGCTTTGTCCCGGCTAACGCCGCTTGTTCTTCCAACTTTCTTCCTTCCATCCTTGATATGCTAGAAAAATGTCGGGCGTTGAAGTTGCTTTCGTCCTAAATAATTGAATGTCTTTTGGATTAATCCTCTTTCGATGGGAAGTTGTGGGCATTTTCTGCATTAATTGTGTCTGAAAGTCAACCTTTTTTCTAGAAAGGGAGCACATTCGATGGATGTTTGATTAAAGGTGAAGTTCCCAGAAACTCACTCTTTAAATCCATTCCATAGTCCCTTTGATAATTCTGAGCTCCAAGCTCTAGTTATGAGCTTATTATTTGACCGATCCAAGAGTAGAAACTCGGCAGCATAATGTTCCAGACAGAAACGCAAAATGCTCCGAAGTTCCTTCATCAATGTCCCACTGTAATTTTTGCTTGGAGACTGATGAGGTAAGATCCCCTTGCTTGCCCTTTATTTCAAGCAGGGTGCCAAAATAAAGGGTTTTGTTCCCCCTGGCTATATCCAAATGAAGAAGTATTTAGTTTAAGGAATTGAACAACTGATAATTATATATATATATAATTGATGTTATTTGAAGCTGCCTCCACCCGAGTTCTAATTCCAGATATTTTCGAGAGAGATAGGAAAATCGGAAACCTGCGTCCCCACTTTCAGTGTACTATAGTAGATTACCTGATGATTCAGGCACTCTGTCTCACATTATTTCTGAGAATCCTAACAAAAAATGCCTACAATTTATAAAGGGGAGGGGGGGCACCATGCTTCTGACTCTCAGATATTGAGAATCCTAAGCTAAGACAACCTTACATTTTCGGAAAAAAAAAAACATCTTTAAAATTAACGTTGGGTTCCAAAAGGCCTTCCATGTGATATCAGCCCTTTTTTTAAGTGTCAATCATGTCCGGTCTTGTCCTATATGGCATTATTTTATTTTTAGTTTTACTATTTTTAATAGCTTGATATATACTTTCCTACGACCATCTCGCATGTGGCAGCTTCCCCTTTCTACATCAAGGCAAGCAGTCAAATTATCAAACAGCTCAACATTATTACTAGTTCAAAGCAGCAGATGTGAACTAGTGAGAGCACAGCTTCCATGGAAGACACCGATAGTATATGAAATGCACAACTTCCACTGAAACCTCTGCTTGAAAACCCCAGATTTCACTTGGTAATGTCCAAGAACCTTATCTTTTTGAACCAAGTCGTGGTTCCTTTTACTCCTATAAAATATATTATGCAACTTTAGCCACACAACAAGGGTCATTTTCATTCTCAAGAAACTGCAACAATTTAAACTTGTCTTGTAGCTGATTGATTATTTCTAACCCATACAGAGACCCTAAAATAAAATAACAAAAAGTTTTCTAGCATTAACCCATCAACATTGACTCTGGTTAAGTTAAACCTATCAACCTTGTTCTCGTTTTACAAGGTCAAGAAACTTCTCTGCAGTAATTCCTGTTTCAACATCTGTTTTAGCATCAAGTACATCACCAGGTCAGTTCATCGAGAGACCTGCCAGCATTTCACCGTAAGAAGGAAGGTCGCGAATCTTTTCACTCAACTAGATGACACCAGCGTCCCCACACCCCAGCATCATGTTCCCAGCTGTAATATAACAAACGAGCTGTTACCTGGACAGAAGCTTCATCTCCGCCTCAAATTAGTGCCTGTGACACTTATTATCAGTGGTAGACCCCAACTGTGAGTGAGTATCAGCATGCCTAAAGCGGGAGACAAAGCAACTCCCTTTCCAAGCCTGACGGGAACTTCTTCCTATAGAAGAATGCTCTACGCATATGGATTTTTTTGTAGTAATTTGTGTGGAATGGAGCAAAAGAGAAGATTGAAGAAACTATATTTATCAACTCTACAATTGTAAATTCACAATACCAGAATCCGAACAACACTCGCGACAAAATTAAAGATGACAATTTCTATCTGTGCGTAAAAAACAATTGTAAAGGACATAGTGAAAGATATCCCATGAACAGTATATACGCGCATGTGATGAAAGATCATCAGTTTCGGAAACATCAGGCCCCAGATTCAACTAGCTAATTCCTTTGCCTCTGCTAACGTTCAATCTGGATGGTTACATGACTGATGCCATACTCACTTCTGATATAGTTCATCAAATTGTCTAGCACCATGTCTGCATTTGCTTCAGGCCTGATTTTCACATGACAAGCCAGAAGAATCTTGCCCACGGTAATGGCCCATATATGCAGTTCGTGGATAGCCACCACGTTCTCCATCTCAGACAATCCCTTTTCAATCTTTGATGCATCTATCTCTCTTGGAGTGCTCTCCATCAAGACTTCAAGTATGTTCCGAAACATTTTGATTGTTGTCCCCAAGACTACAACTGAAAAGAATAGGGTTCAGATCAGATCAACTATCTTCCACTCAGGCTTATACCATATGATTGCACCTCCTATCATGACCCCGATACTCTGGATGGAATCCCCAAGTACATGGATATAAGCACCTTGTACATTTATGTTCCTTTGCTTCTTTTCATGCCTGGCTTCCTTTTTATCCAGCAGCGGCTCAACATGTTCTTCATGAGCATGACGGTGCTCATCTGTCGAGTGCTTATGATGATTGTCCGCATGTTTTGGGTGCTCGTCGTCATGACGATGATGAGTATTAACTGTCATTCCATGGCTGTGGCCAGTCCCATGATTGTGATCATGGTCATGCCCGTGATCATGTCCTAACACAAGTGCCATGACGATATTCACTAGAAGACCGAATGCAGCAACAAGAAACATAAGAAACCCATCTACCTCCCTTGTATCATGGATGAGCCTAACAATGGCTTCATAAACCAAGATCCCTGCAAGCAACCAGATGAGCTGTATGGAAACCAGTGCACCGAGAACCTCAATCCTAACAAATCCATAAGATTGACGGGATGTGGCTTCCCAGCCAGCTGCCCAAAATGAAAACAAGGAGATAGCAAAGGCTGCAACATCTGAAAGCAAATGTGCAGCATCAGTCAAGATTGCCAGACTATTGGCTTTGATGCCACCAGCCACCTCAGCACACATGAACACGACACAAAGTGCCACGGCTATCCAGAGCTTACGCATTGAAGCTGAACGTTCTTTGGCATTCTTGAGGTTATTTCCAGTATCTGAAAATACACAAGGTGCTTCCCCGCATACCTTACTCACTCCACTATCCTCTCCATCAAGAATATCCACGCTTGTTTCAACAGGGGGGGCATGCTGAGTATTTTGTGCTTCCATCTGAAAGTTCACAGTTACACCATGAATACCATGTGAAATCTAACAGAACATGCCTGCATATATAGTGCACAATGTGTTCTGTAATGATACACGGAAGAGTAAATGCATTGTCTTACAACATCAAAGAGAATTTGGCAACAGATACACCATCAAAGTAGCTTATGATGAACCAACATGCAAAAAGAGAAAAAAATGAAAGAACTGAGAGAACTGAAAAGATGAATAGCTGATAATGGTATTTTACACCAAACTCAGGCACTATAGGGAGAAATTCCAGGTTCCTCAATATTCAACGAGTTTAAGAGCCAAAACCCACGAAGATTATTTGATTGCATGAACTTGTTGAAAGTAATATTGTAATTCTGAACTAGGAACGTTCCTCCTCCTCGTGCCCTTTCAAAGACAGCAGCCTTAATAGAACTAGATCCCGACCTCTTAATGAGAATTCATGCTTAAACATGAATTTGATAGATTGCAAATATGAATAAATTTGATTTTAATGACAGTGCTTAGAAATTACACCAATAACTCCCCAGCAGAAACAAAACCACAAACATATTGATTCCGAGCAGTGTCACTCACATAGCCAGCCCCCAAACAGTAGAGATTAAGGCATTTAGTTTGTCATTAGCCCTTAACTACAATTCAGAATTTCAAAAGGATTTAGAAAATGAAGTTCATAACGTGATGATCACTAGCTAAACACGCCAGCAGAAGAGCATTCCCTGTCAGTAATATAAGCCGTTTGATACAAAAGACTAATCCAAATCAATGGATCACCGATCACGTAGCACACAACACCTTGCTCAATGACAAGTAAAAACATAAACAAAGTTTCAAATTTTTAACCCTCACGCAGAATCCGTGAACGAAGGAAATCACGCATTACCAATCTAAGTTCACAAGACGAGCACCTATTGCATAGACAGCATATTAGTATTTGCACATATAGGGAAGGAATACTGAGTCAAGCCAAAGAGTGGAACAATAGAAGTGGCTGAATGGCAGTCCACCAAGTAAGCCCCCGTCTTCTTCTCTCTCTCTCTCTCTCTCTCTCTCTCTCTCTCTATTTAAGTAAAAAGAAATCATTTAACACAATCAAACAAATGCAGCTTTTCAACGACTTTCGAATTTAAGGCAACAATTATGCATCAAAGGAATCCAGTAACTGAATTCCATTTCAAACATGGATCATCCCCACTTGTAAAAAGATCTAATAAAGGAAAAATCCATAATCACAGCGATATCCTTTGCATGTACTTTCTCCCTGTGTGCAGTGGGTTCATTACACATACGTTACCAGATGCAAAGAGATTCAGTCATAGAAATGTTTCAGAAGAAGGAATCAAAAAAGAAAAGAAAAGATTCCCAATTTCCCGTGACCCTATTGACAGTGTAACGGCAACCCATCAGCAGTAAAGCAACAACTAGTACCAAGCATTGGACCATGTGGATTGATCTACACATCTATATCTCATGAGGAATAACATTCCGCAGCTTTAACATCTCTAATTGGGAGATGGGGGGAAAGAAGAAAAACAGAGAGTAAAGCATGGAGATACAAGGATCAAAGCCATAAAGGAGATAAGTCAATAGATTACCTTTAAAGGCACTCGAGATTTTTAAGTTACAGGATGCAAGCAATGCAAACAAGTGGCGGGAGCTTAATTTTTGGTAAGAAACAATATTTTCTAATCAAACACACTACAAAGCATCACCTAAAAGCCAGAAAATAGAGTGTTCCTTGAAGATCATAGAAGTGGCAAATAGAAATCAAACACCCTTTAATAGATATCAATCTCCTAGAAGTCTTTGATTGAATTAGGTAAAGAATCTTAGCACAATCAGCACCATGCTGAATCAAAACCAAACAAAAAGCAGCATATCGTTATTGGTGCTGAAAGCCAACCTGCTGCAAATGATCAGAAGACAAAAATCAACAAGATAACAATAACGTCCATTAATACGTATTAGATAAACAAACAAGCAAAACACAAGACTCGCCGAGATTAATTATTATATACACTTAAACCCAAAAGTCAAAAGATTACGCGCGCGAGCGTGCCAGCACAAACCCAAAAGTCAAAAGATTACGCGCGCCCGCGCGCCAGCACAATATATATATGAAGAATAATTGGATATGTTAGAAACATTGAACCTAGAATAAAGAAAGGTGTTAGCTTGAGTTGTTCTTTTCAATCTTGGTTTGCTTGTGGCATCAATTTGACTTCAGGTAAATCATTTTCTCTACATCAATCACCCTCGCTTAAACAATTCAATTTCAAACCCTAAGGATAATCGTTGCAACTGGGATAATGCAATAAATAAAGGGCACTGACTGTCTTTCAGTTTACACGCCCATGTGGATGGATCTGGTGTGATGGATGCTCCGTAGAATCAACTGAGATGAGAGTAATGCTAATTTTAACCAATATTCTCTCGGGATATTTTTTCAAAAATCTCATGCTTGCATTAAAAGTAAGTGAGTTTTACTACTGGGTCTTACAAAATAAATGTTTGAAGCTTTTTACAAGATGAATTCGGCCACAAAAACAAAAAAAAACAAAAACTTACAATTCATATATGATTTACAGACACTTAGATCTTATATAGTAAGTGGGTATGCTCCCAACATTTAAATGTTTTTGGAGATCTTGATAAGAACAGTTTCTTACAAATAAATTGTTAACGAAGCACTGAAAATCTAATTGAAAAAAGATTTAGTTTCAATACAAAAACTCATTGGAAGATAACTCTGTCTTAAACATATTTTTTCCCTCTAGATTAATGCTTAATCTAACCTCTTCTGGAGGTAAGTCTTAATCCATGAATTATGTGAACAAAGTTAAAATTGATTAACTAACATATCATCAATTACTACAACTTGTTAGTGATGTTTTGATCTGTCCATGAGGAGGTCTGGGGACAAAATTGCATTTCAATTCCAATCAATCATCCTCTTGTTATTTCCCCATTGGCAATGGGTGTCAATCAATTTGCCCGATGTAATGCAATCAAAATCAGAGTTTTTTCTTCTTTTTTTTCAGATGATCGTGGAGGCTGCCTGATTGGTGGACATGATCCCAGTACAATTAGCTTCATATCAATAACTAAATATCTGCTCAAATTATACGAAGAAGTACAAAATATACTAAAAGACATGTTTCTTTTTTTTCACGGTAATCCATACTGCATTTTTTTCTTTTCTTTCCTGTTTGATCATTGCTTCTTCTTCTTTTTATTACCGTCAATTACATAAATCATTTTATGGATAGGTCTAGAAATGGCAATTTAATACTGATCATATAAATAAGTGAATATTTTTTAATATAATTAGAAATAAAATATAAATATTGTCAACTCAACTCAAAATCCAACCCAAATATATATATGTATATGTAAATGTATATGTATATATTACTTTATGTCGAAGAATAAATAATAATTAGATAATAGATATTTATATAGATATCCAAATCTTGATGTGTAAGATATAAATATCAGAATTTTATACCCAATAGGTATAGATATAAAGAAACTGAGTCCATTGATGCCGATTGTTATCCCTAGCTAAATCAATCACTCATTTCTTATAATTTATTTTGTTAAGAAAAATGAAAAGAGAAGACCAAAGTGTTGAACATGATAAAAATGCATGGTCACTCAAAACTTTAAACTAAATAATTCATTTCAATCCCTCTATTATCCTTTGACTACCTTTCAATCTCTTTTATTTTAAAAAATTTAATTTAATTTTATAATTTCATTATATTCATTTTTTGGTCTCTGGTTTGATATAAAAAACAGAAAGTCACAAGAAAATAGATATAAAAAAGTAAGTTGCCTAGTAGGCTTAGGCTTATTTCTGAAGATAAAAAAGGTTGGTGGTGGAGTCAATAAGTTTTATTCAATAAGAAAAATTCAATTAAGAAGTTATTTGGTTCTTATATTACTAGAAAAACAAAACATGCTTGAAAAATAGATTTTAAAATCAAAAAATCAAAGTCTGATTTTCAGCCACCTTTTTAGATGTTGAAATCTAGGCAAGTAGATGTTGCGTTATTTGCCATTTATTTTTATTGTTTTTTTTTTAAAAGAGGGGAGATGACATAAAATGAAAAAAAAAAAAGAGAGACTGGTCTACTGGGCCATACACGTCTGGCCCTTTCTCTGCTAGCATAGCTGTTTGAGCTTGAATCTTTTGTGATTTTTCTTATTTTTATTGGATTTAGATTTAAATGAAATGAAAAGACTTGACATGATATTTTATTTATTATTAATTTTTTTCATGGTTCTCTAATAATTTTTTAGGTTTTTATTAGGATGTTAACATTTATTTTTCAATTATTATGTGCCTAATATGAAAAAAAAACATAGATATTTCATTTATGTTTTATTATCCTGTGATAATTACAAAAAAAAACCTTTATAAGTATAAATGAAATTTATAAATATTTATAAGTTTATAATTATATTCATTTTAATAAATAAAGAGTGTTGGGATTATTAATCTTTTCAGAAGCAATTTTATTATTGTATTATTAAATAGAAAAAAAATTCAAAGAACTCCCCACACAATGCAATCACACCTTAACATACTTCTTTATGTTAATTTAATGACTTGGTCTATAGCTAGAGTTAAAGTTTTTAGTATTTATAACATACTTGATTTTTTTTAGTTTATTTTATTGAATTTCTTCATTGTTGAAAACTTGATGCTAAAAACAATTTTTTTAGCATTATAAAAAATATTTTAATCCATTATACAACAAAGCCCTCAACTACTATTCTTTTATTTTTAATTTGAACCGCTCATGAATAGAGTTTTTATTTCTCCATTAACATAATTAAAAAAATAATTTTTATTTTAATAAATAAAAAATAATTGTGCATGTAATGTATACACTACCGATGATCATACACAACTATTATTTATATGTTATGGTAAGAATTATTTAAAAAACTGTGCTGGTTTAAAAAATAATTTTTTCTAATGTGCTGACGTGGAAAAAAAATCTCACGAATGGGCGTCTGACCCCCTTTTCTCTCCCCAGCCTTTTGTTTTTGAAACTTTACAGCAGGCCACTCGCTCCGGGCTTAATTAGAGAGAGACACCCTCCACCTTTCTTTGATTGGCAGGCTCTGAAACAAAGGTTGATTTACAAGCTTTCCATCGTTGATTCCCAAGGCATCTGGGTAACTACCCAATAGGAGACTGACATTAAGTTGCCAAAGTTACGAGAATCTGATACCCACATCATGTAGAGAATCAAGTCTCAGCTGGTACAAGATTATTCAAAAATGCGATGCTCCATGCAATATGAGGGGGTGTCATCCCCACTACCAAAAAAGTTTATCTAAAGGAAACAAGTAGACATTAGTTCATATTTTTAAAATCATTTAAAAGTAATTAAAATTATAAAAAATTAATTTAAAAGGAGAAAAGGAAGTTTAAGAATTTTTAAAAATATTTTTTTATCACAAAAACAAATAATTTTCTATCATGTAGGACTAATTAGAATATTAATTAGAATATTAATCATGATAGAGACCATGAATGAGTGATGTAAGAAACAAATTGAAGTAACATTTAGAATAATGTAAATTATATATTAAAATTATAAAAAATTTATTTAAAAGGAGAAAAGGAAGTTTAAGAATTTTCAAAAATATTTTTTTATCACAAAAACAAATAATTTTCTCCCCAGCCTTTTGTTTTTGAAACTTTACAGCAGGCCACTCGCTCCGGGCTTAATTAGAGAGAGACACCCTCCACCTTTCTTTGATTGGCAGGCTCTGAAACAAAGGTTGATTTACAAGCTTTCCATCGTTGATTCCCAAGGCATCTGGGTAACTACCCAATAGGAGACTGACATTAAGTTGCCAAAGTTACGAGAATCTGATACC